CTAGTTTGATGAGTGATATTCTATTATAAAACTAATTTATATTAAGGTCATTTTGGTTATGGTCCCTACTCAACATAGTTATTAGAATGAAACCTTTTTTGTTTAAATAGTTTGATCAAGGTCCTCATCATCATTTAAGAGATGTAACTCATGCGTTTATGCATTCAAGATCCCACAAATTATGAAATTTAAACAAATCCAAATAATATTGTTACAAATATAACAATTACTTAAAAATCAATAATAGAGTAATTTGTTCTTCACATAGTTCTAGCAAAAAAAATGTACCCACATAATTATCAATACAGTGCAAGAAATGTCACATCTCGACCCAGGCTACACCACATTCCGGGCTCGACTCCGTTGTAGCACGATATTGTCTGCTTTGGGCCCCGACCATGCCCTCACGGTTTTGTTTCTGGGAACTCAGACAAGAACTTCCCAGGATGGGTGCACGCCTTGATTTCGGTTGGGGTGTGTCAAGAAATAACTATGGATATATTTTAAAACATAAAATAAACACATACAATTAGCATGGGTACGTTCATAAAAAAATATTGGTACAAATTAAATTAAAAATAGGGATACATATTAAAATTCAAAACTATGGGTACAAATTAAATTGAAAATATGGGTACTTATTAAAATCAAAATTATGGGTACAAATAAAAACTAAAAAGAATATTGGTATAAATTAAAAAAAAAGATACAAATTATAAATAGAAATATATGAAAAAATACTAAAAAGATTATATTTGAAAATGATTAATAATTTTTCATTTTTAAATTGACATATAATGACTTGTAAATAATTTAATATTCAAATCTCTACTAATTAATGAAACCTTCTTTGTCAACCAAAAGAGGGTGAAAAGACAACTTAGTCTTCTATTACACAAAAAAAATGATGGGCAATAATGTAATTACACAGGTCTAAATTTTACTGTTTTTTATTGAAGCCTCACCTACAGGTGATATTAAAATACCTCCAACATAAATAAAATAAAATAAAATAAATGTCAAACGAATGTACCCATAGTGTTAAAAAAATTGGAAAATGGGTACATTTTATTATAAAATATGTATACATTATAAATAAATAAAAAAAGATTTTACATTAAAAAAATGGTACATTCACCAAAAAAAAAAAGTACATTTTACATATAACAAAGTGATACATTTATGAAGAAAAATGGGTACATTATAAATGAATTATGAGTATAAATACAAATTTTAAAATATGAGCACAAAATGAAATTAATATATGAGTAGAAATTAAAACTAAAAAGAACATTGGTAGAAATTAAAAAAAGGTTGCAAATTAAAAATGGTACAAACTAAAAATGGAAATATATAATACAAGTTTAACCATAAATATAAATATATCAACTGTAACGTTTCTAACACTAAATGAATACATTTTAGAAATAAAATTTAATTATGTTGGTATGTAAATAATTTATTTCAAAATTTAATTATGTTGGCATGTGAATAATTTATAATTGAATAATGACATTCATTAAAAGCTAGGGACCTTGATAAAAAAAAATTTAATCAATGCAATGAAAGAAAGAGTGATGGGAGCCTAAGTTCTCCCTTATATTATAAGGAGAAGATTTAAACTTGTGTGCATAAGTGGGAGCATATTAGGTCTAACCAATTTAGCTACACCTACATCTGCATGTAACAAATGTACAAACTTTTATAAATATTGTGGTCGATATGATTTATCTGTAGATTTTTCTAACATAGCTACACCTACATCTTCATGTAACAAATGTACAAACTTTTATTAATATTGTGGTCGATATGATTTATCTGTAGATTTTTCTAACATAGCTACACCTACATCTGCATGTAACAAATATACAAACTTTATCAATATTGTGGGCGATATGATTTATCTATAGATTTTTCCGATGCATGTATACCAGGGAGAGGCCCAAAACGAGGGAAGTTCAAGTCAAGGTGTACTCGGCCTAACTGCACAAAGTAATCGGTCGTTATACAAGTGGAATTGAGGGAAGAGGAATCCAACACATGACATTGAGCCAAAAAAACAAATGATTTTAATCAATTAAATTACAAGCTTCTTACACATATACAAGTGTGGGGTGGACTCCAAGTCATCCGAGATTTTAACCCACATCTAATACTACCTACAATAGCCCATCAAGCCGGCCCAAATTATCCTACTATCCTAACTCAAACCCTTTACCCCAGAAATCATAATTCTTTCATGTCCCTTTACATCCCTCATTCCCAGCTTTTATGCTTGTCCGGTATCGCTACTCTTCTCGTTATCCTAACTTATTTCTGCTTTTTTTGCTTCCTCCTTCAGTTGTTCTTTCCTACTTCCTTATTTTCTTCTTCTTCTGGTCCAACCTCCAAGAGTTGGACTTCTTCTTCGCTAAGGCTTATGAGGTCGTCTAACTAAGTGGATCTTTACTTGCTTATGAATGAAATTCACTCTATTTTCGAGTTATGTTTAGAGATTTGCATTCCTCTATTTGACTAGTTGTGCATGATTTGGGGAAATATCATATAAACAGATGAGACTTTACCAACGTTTAAGAAAATCTTTCCTCTAAAGAAATCTGACATCAAAGTTCCGGTCATCCTAGTTTTATGAATCCTAGATCCATGTTTACTTACACACCTTAGATTGATTTTGTGAATAAAATTTTAAAACATTACCGTATCCTGTTAGGGTCTCTTATATACGCACAGGACCATGTACGAGTTGATTTTAATGCATTAACCGAACTACCATTATAAGTGTATTTCATGCTACAATCCCTTTGCACACTTACGTCACAATGCATTAAACCAAACCGTATACCATTAGCGCCCAAGACTTGTCCTGATTCTAACTCATTACCACACTATCCTATTACCTCAGTAGTTGACTTAATTACCCCAAGAGCTGATACATGTACTTTCTCATCGCGGACAAAGACCAGCAAACATGCCTCATGCCACATGCATTTATCAAGGATTTCAAGAGCAATCTCACGCTCAAACCACCAGACACAGAGAACATGGCTCTCATCAAAGTGCTACCCCCCTTCCATCTTATCACACAGAGCTACTTTTCTATGTTACGTGACTCCTCCTATGATAGCCAACAGTGAATATATATGATCAGAAGTGGGAACCAAAAGTACCGCTTTATGGAAATTTTGAGCATATTTCGGAGCCAGTGAAAAGACATCTAAACAAACCTCTTCCTGTTCAACAGTCTCGCACAATATTTCGAACTATGCAAGATTTTGACAGAAGATTTACCTGCTCTAGCAACTATTGATTGTAATGTAAAGAAAAGAAAATGCAACACCTGAGGGGAGAATAAAACAAGTGATTCAGGATATATGAACTGTTTTTCAAAGTAAATAAAATTTTGTGTATATTATCTTACAAATAAAAAATGGATTGACTTTCACACATCTTTTTTAATTTCTCACATATTTTTTAATTTCTCACATATTTTTTATTGCTGATTATGAGATTGAACAAGAAAATGAAAACGGACATTATTAAACATGAATGTGTAAAAAGAAAAAATATGAATGTCTATAATGTTTCATTAAAAAAAACAAAGTGGTATCTATATAATTGTGAGTGACTCAAATTGTAAGGCAGAAAACACAAAACCAAAAAAAATATAAAGAGATGGTGTCAGAATAGTAACTTGCTAGCTGTTCCTGCAAATTAAATTGGGCCAATCACAACAGTTCTTAATTGAATGGACCCTGAGTTTGAGCCTTCTGCCATGAAATGTTGGATACAACAGTGTCGAAGAACAAGTGTTTTGAGCGCAGGACATTTGTATATACTGTATATTTCATTTTCCTTGCACCATCCGCACTGTAATGATAATCGTGATATACATTATTGGTCCTGAATGTTTAAATTTTAGAGAGAGTAATAATTTAATATGGTATCAGAACTTTTTTAAAGTGCGTAATCTTTCTAGTATGTAAACTAATGCGATGGATGATTGCATATGTCATGTCCCAATGAAAGCTTTCTCGTCACAAAGTGAACTACTGACTAGTTCTAGTTAATATTTTGAAGGCAATTTACTTGAATGCGAATGATTTTCATATTCCTTTTTTTACCTCATGAACTCTACACTCTAATGTTGTTCATTGATTTTCATCTCTTCCATTTATTTAATGCAACGACTAGAAAAGAAAGAAAAGAGTGCAAGAGGTGCAAAGAGAGTGTCAATTCTCTCACCCAATTATAATAAAACCATATGTGCATGATTGAGATATAATCATTTCATTATAGGTAAGTAGGTTAATCTTCCAGACTGGAAAATTGTGGACATGATTAGGGAAAGAACCTCACACCAACCATACACATAAGATAAGAACAAAGCATACCTCCCTTATACCAGCAATAGCATTATTGACCATCACACTTCACACAGGAAGGCACTTAATCAAACGATTGTTTGCAATTTAAATAAAGAGGACCACATATCTCTGCCAACTTGATCGCTGAAATGAAAGAGGAATTTACACGCTTTGTAATCTTTGGATTCTGCTAGTTGGTCTACATAAGGGGGGCCTCCCGCATATCCTAAATTCCTCTTTCTTTCCACTAAAATAATTTGATCCTTGAGGTTGGTATGTCTTTCTCTATTAAGCAACGATGAACCTCCCAATTATTCAATTCAATTTAGGTGGGAAAAGGTCTTTTGAGAAAATTAGAAAATACAAAGTGGTGATTCAGCAATGATGCTAATAATAACGTCTTCAAATCATTTGAAACACTTTGATCAAGGAAAAAAAATTTGCACACACTTTTCAAGATGTTGCCATAATATCTTGAACTAATAATATAATAATATGTACTAAATTTTTTCAACTTAACATAGTATTACTAATACGAATTTTCGTTGTAGTGTCATATACAATATAAAATAGTAGAGTCACTCCCTCTTCGACAAGCCTCAATGGGACAAACCATAAAGGAAATGGAAGGTAAAGTAAAGCAATGCTTTCAAATTTTAATTGAATATGGTTATGTAACATTAACAAATCATGTAAGCTCCACAATATTACATCCAAAATTTCTATCTCATAAAAAACACTAAAAACTTGCAAAAATACAAAGAAAAAAACTTGGCTTATGGCTCCAAATAAACAGGCAGAATTGCATTTCGGGTTCCCCTACCATTGCCAAAAGAAAAGAAAGATCTTCTAACTCTACCACTACCAGTGCTACTGCAACCTTCAATGGGACTGACCTCATTGACTTGCCTTTGCTGCTGCATTGCCTCTTGAACTGCCAAATAAAGCTGCCTATCAGCTGATGAGTCCATTGAGAAAGACCTCCTTATTGGTTGGATCGAAAACTGCTCATCCTTCCCTCTAATATCAATGCATTCATCCCCCATGCTTGTAACCTTGCTGTGAAACTTTCTTCCAAATTTCTTGGGCAAAACTTTATGTTCCAATTTCCTTGGTGAAGGACTAATAGCCCTTAGTGATAGTGATAACTCCCCGGAATTCAATATTTCTTGTCTTCCAAGCATTGGTTGATCCATCGAGTTATCGTTGCTCAATTCGATCACCACGTAGTCTTCATCACCGCCACTGAGGCTACCTGCGTTTGGACTTGGATCTCGGGGAGAAGAGCTTGGAGCGACAGTTGGACCGAAAGGATATCGGGGTGCAGTTGAAATGCTTGTTCTACAAAGTGGGCAATTGGCATTGCTTTGAAGCCAAACATCAATGCAATCAATGTGGAAAACGTGGCTGCAGTTTGGTATGATGCGAAGCTTCTCGTCTTCATGAAACTCATTCAAGCAAACCGCACATTCGTAAAAGCTTCCCTCTCCAAGTCCTCTGTAATTTCCATCTTTCTTGAATTGCAACAATGGGATTGATCTGATCACCGCCTCGTCAAGCCCCCGGGTCTCTATCCCAGGGGAGTACACCATTAGCTGGTCTTCGTCCCGCGTATTACGCGACAAAGAGAATCGTCCGAGGATATCGACTCGGTGCCAGTTGAGGCAGCATTTGATAACAAAGATGTAGTAGCTGACGAGCAAGAAAGCTGTGGCTATAATTCCTATAACGACAACCGCTATAATTGGGAAGCTTGTGTCGGAATGGTGAATCGGAGTTCCAAAAATGGAGCTTCCCGGAGTTGTTGGAGGAAGAGCTTGTGACACGTGGATCAAGTAGCTTTTGCTTCCAAGATCCATGAAAAAAAAAATGAGATATGAACAATAAAACTAAATGGGGTTTTCTTCCTAGATCTTGAAACTTATAAGCGAACGAAAAATTCACCCTTGCACCTGAAGTCCTGAGTATAAAACCCCTCTCCTCCAATACAAGAAAAATACAAAAAAAAACATGAAACTCACAAGAAGTGAGATTCCCAAAGATCTAAAAACCCAGATTTATTTGAGTTTTTGAGTTGATGAAGTATGGATTTGGAAAGGTGAGTTTAAAGTAAAATGGAAGAATGAGCTAGAAACAATGAGAAGAGAGAAAACGAGGGAAGACCCAGGTGGAAATAAATGATGAGAGGAACATGGAAGAAGCCTGAAATTCAATGAAAATGTGCTCTCTGCTCATTTTTTTTTTTCTTTTTAATGTTGGCGAGGGGGTCTTGGAGTTGAGAGGACTAGTCTCGGAGACCTTACGTGTAGTTGGTGAAGTTTTCTTGGCTTCCCACGAGAAGTTTGAGTAGAATAATTGCCCAAGTGTCTCGATATTGGTAGATTATTATTTTAAAATTGATGTTACAGAATCGTATGGTAGATTGGTAGTATGGAGATACTAGTACTATATATTAAATTGTGGTTGTGTAGAAATGGACAGCTCTTCATCATGGCTTTGCATTTTTATATGTACATGAATTATTATTTACTTGGTTTTGGATCAACCCAAAAATGTATTAAGACAAACCCATTAATCTTAAAGTACATTAGTATCAAATAAGTCAATAATAAGAGGATCATGCACTTCCTAGCTATAGTTAATTGGCTTTGAAACGTTGAAGGTGAGACATTTTTCAGTGCAACAGTCATACTGTTATATGTGTTATTTATTTATTTAATTTGTAATGCGTATATTAATATAATATGTATAATCGTTCACTCATATTATAATACTAGCACAATTTCACTATCATATATTAAAAACACTTGGTTTCATACATTATATTTCATTTCTTATTGAAGGTAAATCACAGTTCTATCTGTATGCATAAATTTTTTTTTATTATTATTCCATGAGTTATTTTTGCATGCATATCAAACTAAACTTTATAAAAACTGTAATTTGCAAAATAAAGACGGATAACTCTTTACAAGTAAGAAATCAAACATTCTTGATACAAAATTTCTCATGCGGATTAGTAATGGTTTTTTTATTTTTTTAAACAATTGAAAAAAGAAGGGTAAAACCTTGACTTTCAACGTAACCGTCCATTCACAATCATAATCAATCATAAAGAAGAAAGTCTCACGCCCACATGCAACCCACCGTTGAATTTCTTGACCAGAGAGGCCTTGGCCGTTTGGTTAATCCATGCATGTTTGAGTTTGCATCCACATACCCGCTATACCAATTTGAAAAGCTCTCTGTACCAAAAGTAGTATAGTAGCCTACACGTTCGGGGATAAATCCAGTAGGTCCCAATTAAAAAGCTATTTATCATGGAGAAGTCAAATCCACACACTGTCCATACCAAGAACACACGAAAAAGAAAAGTTAAAAAAAGAACCGACACCACCCATCAATCGTGCAGTCGTGTTGACAAAGATTTTAGCCCTTAAGGTAAGAAAGAGAAATAGTAGCTTCTTTTTTCTTAAGTGCTTCTTCGTAGTCAAAGGTTGAGCCTCTGCCGAGGAAATCTCCCATACATTTTCTCCAAATTTTCCGAACAATACCAAACTTTTTGATCATATCAAGGTCACGTCTCGATCACCTAATGTTTTAAACAGAAATCTGAAAGCCAAAAGCTACAAGCCTCTCTTTATTTAATCAGTAGTGACAAGGAAGCTTATAATATTTCATGGTTTGAGTGAGCTAGATAACGACCAAATCTATGTGATTAGTGCACATATTTTGTTAACCAAAAACATAAAATAGAAATGCTATGAAGACTCCCGCTAGCCATGTATATTTATGAATACTTTCTTTTTGGGGCGAATCTTCGTAGTGTTTCTCAACAAAAATGGGATCATGTATACCAACATATATGTGACTAGAAGTCGAAGACAGCTGGCCTTGAGAGAAGGCGGCGTCTCCCAAAAAACATGACCAAATTATTTATTGACCTCGGCGTCTCCCAAAAAACATGACCAAATTATTTATTGACCTCGCAACCTTTCTTCCCTTCATTGCTGTGCTCAGAACCTGTCCCTATTGCATAACCCCTCTTTGCATGGTTTACTTCTTCGTTTCACTAGCTATCGTTCAATGCCTTACTTCTTCGACTAATGATTGGTGAAGAGAAGAGTACCCTAAATCAACACATTGTTAATTTATATTTTAAAGGTTTTTCTAATTAAAAAAATGTAATTTATTATCCACATTCAACTTGACTTTAAAAGTCTCTTCGTATGTAATTCTATGATTTTATTTATGAAGATTAGTTTTCTTACAAGTATAATGTTTCCTCTTAAAACTGCTATATATGTTTACTTTGGTTCTAATATACTAGTCATCTTATACGTATGTATGTGTTTGTGTGTGTGTGTGTGTGTGTGTTACTAGGTTTTTTGGTATTCAGTACTTCTATCGATCTAAAATGAGTTCATCGAACTTCAAGCAACCCTGTCTAGCTTGTTCTACAAGTATGCTGACTTAGGTTTGACCATTAAACAGTGTTGCCTTGTACTAAGGATTAAATATTTCCTACCTAAACATCTTATCATTAATTCTTATTAGTTCTAAGTATCCTGATTATTGACCTCCCTTTATTACTAATCACCGCATATATTGCATGGCTCTTTGGATCAATCGATCAGACCCTTGGTATAAATTAACAAATATGGTGCAAAGTGGACCATCGATATGAAGCTGGCATACGTAAAATATATTATAATACTTTTAATAATAAAAAAGCAAATCTACCTACAATGCAGTTCTGTAAAAAATAATAAAATGTATATTTTGTACGAATTGATTAAAAATGAAAATGGGAAAATTAATTGAGAAGTTGAGCACATGGAATGGAACTTGGAAGATGGCAACAGCTGTTGATTAAAACAGTTTTCTTGAAGAGCGAGTTACAGACGTCAGGAGACGTGAATATCCTTAATGTTTTCAGCAAGAAGTCTACTTGCTTGTCTGTTGACTCAGTCTGTTCAAATAAAATGGTTTTATATTTTAAATTTTTTTTTTTATAGTGTTTCGGATTATCAAATATATTTATTTATTTTTTTTTTATCAAAAATACAAAAAATAAGACTAATAGTTTTTTTTTTTTTTCATTAAATAAGACCTAATAGTTAAAAAGTCCGAAGATTGCCACATAATTTTTGCATATGTTTATGCTCAAGCTAAGTTACCATTTTGTACAAAAATTACTTTATCCGGTGGTACCTCTGTCTCATTGTATTAGACTTGATTTTAATACAATTCACACTCTGTCTCATTGTATTAGACTTGATTTTAATACAATTCACAACTATCAAAATCAAGTGAAAGGATATAATCATATAAACTTAGAGATGTGTTCTGACATTTTCTTATATGTTTATTTCCTAAAAGGAAACTCATTTCATCTTACGCATTTCATGAAACTACATCGTCATCTATATGAGTTTCTATTTGTACATGAACTAGGAACTAGCTGATTAAAAGCTAGGGATTTCAATATAAATTTTAGCTTGTCTTTTTTTTTTTCTTTTTTTTTATTGCTTTTCCAAATTCTGATTGTTGATATTAGTTTCCAAATTCTGATTGCTCTCAAACATCTTGAGATTTTTTATTTTCTTTTTCCGCCAACACATCTTCAGTTTGGATAAACAGCACTGTGAAGGCAACCGGCGAACACTTTCAGTTTGGATAAACAACATTGTTGCCGTAGAATCAGCTGACCAAGGAGCACCTTCAGTTTGGATAAACAGCACCACGTCGAGGCCGACTGGTTACCTATCCAAGTCTCAGTCGAGAAGGGTTTCCGAGTCCTTATTGGCGGAGGTCATCTTATTAGCCTTCTCGGCTAAGGAAGGTGTTATGAGTTACGACATTTGGCACATCGAACGCTGAGTGATTTTATGATTGGATACTCACAAATGAGTTTCAGAGTTCGGCATTCTGGGTCGAACCATATTTACCATCAAGACATACATCTCCTTCGAGTACTTGTGTCCATATAGTCTGGTGTTGATTCGACGTGCTTATACTCTCACAAATATAGTCACTGTGACCGAATCTGGTGCCGACGATTTGTGAACTTCACAGAACTAGCAGCCTTGTCTTTAGGTTCGAGAATCCAAAGGTCGAGATTTGTTCCTTCCTCGGCCGCAGTCGCAAGATAAAGAAGTTAGCAACACGCTCAATGCAACATTAACAAATTTTACTCCTCGGTGGAGCTCGATCAACGAGTTGGCACGCCCCTTATTCAACCGAAGGACGTAATTAGATTATTAGTTACTCGGCCTGCGCGCCACGTAGGCTTTGTGATTTTTAGGGTCAACATTTTGGCACGCCCAATGGAACCTTGTGCTAGACCTTCGAAGTTCATGACCATTGAGACACGGTCTGTAAAGAAGAAAACAATCATGGGAAAGTCAACAACCGACTTACCAGTACAAAGCCCTGGACAAGATTTGTCTCAGGTACAAAATCCTCTCATTGTTGTGCCACCCAAGGCTACAAGTGCGACACGCCGAGAGAAGGAAATTTGTCTCGACGGACAGCCTCGTAACCTAGAAATTCCCAACCAAACGACAGACATTTTCGTCGAAGGGATAGTAGAAGATTGTGACGAAAATGGTGGGGAAGGTTCTGATCGGCCAACTAGGTCGTTTCTTCGAAGACGACTTGATGAACAATCTCGGCAGGTCGAGCAATCGATTGCCTAGAAAATGAATTATTTGCTTGACGTAATACAAAATAATAGTGATACACAGACCAAGATGCTTGAACTATTAGTCAATAAAGCCTTCGAAAATGGCCACGTCGGCCAACCTCGACAATCTCCCTTTAAGAATATTCCATTACAAGCCGAGAAAGGATCCGCTTGGCTCTAACCAATTGACTTGGAGAAAAGAGGTGGATCAAGCAGTAGATCTGATGGGCCTAACCAGGGAGTAGAAGCAACATTCGTCAATATGACCGAGGTCTAAAGAATGATCGACTCAGCCATAAAAAAAGGGCCGAAGTTCCCAAAGTTGATCCATCCGTACCTAGCTTATGTGGAAAAGTTCGAATACTTTAAAGGCTTCAAGATCCTCGACTTCATTAGAACATGTAGCTCGGTTCACTGCGCAATGTGGAGACGTTAATAGTGACTTCCATAAACTACGGCTATTCAACTTTTCACTAACAGGTTCAGCCTTTGCTTGGTACATCAACCTCCCATTGAACTCCGTCCAGAGTTGGGAGGAATTGGTCGAGAAATTCCATGAACAATTCTATCGACCAGGG